GAGAGAAAAAACAACAACAAAAAAACAGAATTTCCTAGCTGCATGGAGTTATGAAGGCAACCTACAGATCTTTATGCAGAGGAGTAGCAAAATGAGCAAATTTGCATTTAAAAAAAAAGAATGCTCATATTTTTTATACTTTGCTTTATATCACTTGTTAAAGCATGTACCAGTTTTGTAATTTAGAAAACATCAACTAGCCCTGGCCAGTGTGGCTCAGTGATTAGATGGTCGGCCGACATACGGAAGGTCTCAGGTTTGATTCTCGTTCAAGGGCACGTACCTAAATTGCAGTGCAATCCCTGGCCCTGGTTGGGGCAAGCGCAGGAGGCAACCAATCAATGTGTCTCTCTAACATCGATGTTTTACTCTCTCTCTCCCTCTTTCCACACTCTCTAAAAATCAACGGAAAAAAATATCCTTGGGTGAAGATTAGTGATTAACAAACAAATAAATAAATAAAATTAAAGGCATCAAATAATGAAAAGAGTTCCTGCTGAGAATGTAGAGGACATTGGAGGATAGGTGAGACTGCTGGTGGGGGGACTGGTCAGGAGACCACTGCACTCAGTGACATGGGGAAGCAAAGAGGGGATGAGAGGAGGTGGGGTGCAGAGGGGATGAGAGGAGGTGGGGGTGAAGAAGGAGTGAAAGGAGGTGGGGTGAAGAGGGAAAGAGAGGAGGTGGGGTGAAGAGGGAAAGAGAGGAGGTGGGGGTGAAGAGGAGATGAGAGGAGATGGGGTGAAGAGGGAAAGAGAGGAGGTGGGGTGAAGAGGGAAAGAGAGGAGGTGGGGGTGAAGAGGGGATGAGAGGAGGTGGGGGTGAAGAAGGAGTGAGAGGAGGTAATATCAAAGGGAATGGAGAGTAGGTAGATTTGAACAATATTCAGACAGTAACATTAAAAGGAAGAAGCAAGTAGAAGAACTTTCAAATACTGGGTTTGGGAAGATATTCAAGAGGAATATAAACATTAAAAAGAGTGGGGCCCTGGCCGGTTTGGTTCAGTGGTTGGAGCATCGGCCTGCGGTACAGAGAGACCCAGGTTCGGTTCCCACTAAGGGCATGTACCTCGGTTGCAGTTTGTCCCCGGCCCTGGTTGGTCGTGCGGGTGGCAACCACTCGATGTGTCCCTTTCACATCGATGTTTCTCTCTCTCTCTCTTCCTCTCTCTCCCTCCCGCTCTATCTGAACAAAAAATGGAAAAATGTCCTCGGGTGAGGATAAAAAAAGAGTGGGACACAAAATTTATATATTATATTAATACTGCATATATGATATTTTTACAAAATTATACACAGGAAAGTCATGAAAACAGAAGTGGTTCACTCTTCATGGTAAGTCATTTTTTTAAAACCCATTCTTTCCTGTATCTTCTAAATTTCTTAAGAGTATATTTTCTTGCATATTTTTGAAGCACATTCATTTCAAAAAGCAATTTACCATTCTTAATAAAAATTCTATGGTTGTAAAACTCATTTGAGAAAAATTGGTCAAATGGCAAACCATATTTCATAACACATTATACCAATTATCATATCTTTGCAAGACCTCACTATGAAATTATAATGGTGAGGCAATCACCCTAGTTGTGGATTTTCTCTTTCTATTCCAGAAATTCACTAGATGGCAGACTGGAATGGACAGCAGACCTTGTGCTGACAGTCATCTGATTACACAGAAATCACTGTAGTCACTCAAGACTGCAAGCCCCTGCCTCAGGCTTTCCCACCTCCATCTGTGTGACTGCCTCTCCCCTCAAGTGCATCCTCTCAATCACATCCACTGTGTTTGTCCTGACCACAAGACTAACATGCCTCTGTCACCACCACACCACAAGATTCCCAGTATTCTTTTGCCTGCTTTGTTTTCAATATACTTATCACCTAATGTATGACATAATTTATTGCATTCAGTGTGTCTCACACCCTGGAATATAAATTCCTGAGGTCATACATGGATTTTTATTGTTTTTGTTCCCAAATGTGTCTTCATCACCGTAATAATCCCTGGCACACAGTGGATGCTCAATAAATATTTGCTGAATTAACACATTAATACATGAATAAATAAATACATGAAAGAATAAATTAAATAAAGGACTATTAGATTTAAAAATCATACACAATTACTTTATAAATGAGTATCACTCATTAATATTTTTTACTTCAGAAATCACCGATTTTTAGCTTAAACATTTGTAGAGACTAATTTAGCCTATGGGGTTCAACAAATTTCATTCTTCGTATATATGTCTATTAAAGTTATCTTTAGATTCAAAAAGGTGATAATTATATAAATCAAATATTTTCTCTATCTAGTTAAATGTATACAAAATTAAACAGTGTATCGCCTGGCCTGTGTGGGTCAGTGGTTTGAGTGTCATCCCATGGAGTGAGAGATCCAGGTTCAATTCCTGATTGGGGCACATGCCTGGGTTGTGGGGTCGATTCCCAGTAGGGGCTGTGCAGGAAGCAGCCGACTGATGTTTCTCTCTCACATTGATGTTTCTATCTCTTTCTCTCTCTCCATTCCTCTCTCTCTAAAAAAAAAAATCAGCCCTGGCCAGTTTGGCTCAGCGGTTAGAGCATTGGCCTGCGGTCCGGAGAGACCCGGGTTCGGTTCCCGCTAAGGGCACGTACTTCGGTTGCAGTTTGTCCCCGGCCCTGGTTGGTCGTGCGGGTGGCAGCCACTCGATGTGTCCCTTTCACGTCGATGTTTCTCTCTCTCTCCCTTCCTCTCTCTCCCTCCCACTCTATCTGTACAAAAAATGGAAAAATATCCTCGGGTGAGGATAAAAAAAAAATAAAAAAAAATAAAAATTAAAAAAAAAATCAATATAAACATAATTTTAAAAAATATAAGCTTTACCAATAAATGATGCAATAAAGTTTCACTTTTTGTAATTAGAGTTTCCAAACTGCCTCATTTAAAAATTTTCATTTGCTGGGTCAAATGGCAATTCAATTTTTAATTTTTTGAGGAAACACCATAGTGTTTTCCATAGTGGCTGCACCAGTCTGCATTCCCACCAGCAGTGTACTAGAGTCCCCTTTTCTCCACACCCTCACCAGCACTTGTTGTTTGATGATTTATTGATAGCGGCCATTCTGACAAGTGTGAGGTGATACCTCATTGTTGTTTTAATTTGCATCTGTCTGATGATTAGTGATGTTGAGTATTTCCTCATATATCTCTTGGCCATTTGTATGTACTGTTTGAAGAGGTGTCTATTTAGCTCCTCTGCCCATTTTTTTAATTGGGTTCTTTGTCTTCCTTTTGTTGAGTTGTATGAGCACTCTATATATTTTGGAAATTAATCCCTTATCTGATATATCATTGGCAATTATGCTCTCCCATACAGTGGGTTCCCTTTCCATTTTGATGCTTATTTCTTTTGCCACTTCTAGGAATATACCCTAAGAAGCCTGAAACACCAATTAGAAAGAATATATGTACCCCCATTTCATAGCAGCACTATTTACAATAGCTAAGATCTGGAAACAGCCCAAATGTCCATCAGTAGACAAATGGATAAAAAAAATAGTGGTACATATACACAATGGAGTACTATGCAGCTGTAAGAAAGAAAGATCTCTTATCTTTTGAGACGACTTGGAGGGACCTGGAAAGTATTATCCTAAGCGAAACAAGCCAAACAGAGAAAGACAAGTATCATATGATCTCACTTATTTGTGGAATATAATGAACATAACAGTCTGAGGAATAGGGTAGACCCAGAGACATGGAAGTTGGTGCAGACTCACAACTCTCAGAAGAAGGGGGTCGGGGGGGAGAGATAAACCACAGAAATTATGGTATGCATAACCGATGGATACGAACAACAAAGCTGGGGATGGGGTGGGGGGTGGAGTGGGGAGGAGGGTATCAATGGGGAAAAAAAGGAGAAACATCTGTAACAAAACTAAGTAATAAAAAAAAAAAGAATAAGAAACCCTGAAAAAAAATCCATTTGCTATTGAGAACCACTGGGAAACTCTACTTACAATTTCTCATTTAAACCACGTTCTCCAGTTTTTATCCCTTAGTAATGAATCAGAAGAACGAGGGCAAATGCATAAGAAGGCAAAGGCACACATTCAGCTTACTACAATTTTAAGAGCAATTTATACTACTTTCACTTTACTATATCTTGCAGTTAAAGCACCATCTGGTGTTTACTATGAAGAAATGCTACGAGGGCAAGTAAAGCAAAAGTCCTTTGTCAGTTTTTTTGTTTTAGTCCATTATCTTCAAATAGAGTTGGGGGGGGTGGGGTAGAGAGACAGAAACATCACGTGAGAGAGATACATCAGCTGGTTGCCTCCAGTAAGATCCAACCAGGACCCGGGACAAACCACAACCAAACGTGCCCTTGACCGGAATCAAACCCACAACTCACTGGTCTGAGGGACGATGCTCTAATCACTGAGCCAAACAGGCCAAGGCCTTTGTCATTTTTTTAAAAAGGTTTAGACAGCTGGACAAAATTATGTAAGCATGTGACTAAGTGACAGATCACATGTTTAATTTGAAAATATAGAAATAAAACTGAGAAATCAATGTGGCGTAAAAAGCATAAACCATTTTAATAATTTTTCAACAAGAATACTCTTCAAGAAAAAAAGGACAAAGGCAAAACATAAATTAGTTATTAAAGGAGTAAATATTTGAAAAACATTCTAGACCTTTGTGAATAAACCATTTCAAAATGCACAATTTGATAAAAAGTAAATTATCAAATAAAACAAAGAGTTTAGATTTGAATACCCAGGAGCTCTAACTATAAGGCTTCTTTATAATATAGCCTCAACCCTTAATCCCTAACAGATAAGATTATAAGAAGGCTTCAGTGTATTAACTCCCAGCTAATTAACATACATTTTATTATACTAGGGCATGACTATTTTAGCTTATTTAGTATTTTATAACTTAGGTAAATTTATTTCTTTATTGGCCAATGCCACTGCCTCTACGCTTACAATGACACCAACGTTACTTACACCAATATAGGCTTTCCCGATATCCTAGGATGTCTCAGCACTTCTGACATTGTCTCTTTTGTCTCTTCCATTCTCTCTTCATCACTGGAATCCACAACAAATATTACCCCATAGGACTCAGCATAGTAATTCTTCCAGATTCCCCGAATTCTTTTTCCACCTCCCAAGTCAAAGATGGTGACTTCAAACTTTCCTTGTCTAAGGTCAATTTTGGAAAATCCAACAGTAGGAGCTACATCTTCAGGATACTCTGTTTTGAATGATATAAAAGAAAATTTTTAGACTTTAATAATAATTTCACTTCACAACTTAAATAACATATAAAGTATCATACTTGAATATGTAGAATGGAATGTTGAAATATAATGTTTATTATTTCCTTACCCAATGAGCATTACATCTGAGCATACTGATTTGGGGGAAGGGTGGATACTATAAAATACCCAACTAGAATTTACATCCCAAGCAGATAGGAATTTCTGTGTTTTTGTTCAAATGTTTTCTTTAATATAAACCCCACTCCTGAATAATGCCTGCCATATAACAGGTACTTAATAAGTATCTATAGAATGAATAAATAAACTTTTGCCTATAAGATTATTTGTTCTCCAAGCTACAAACAAAAATTTCAACCCTTTAATACCACAGACATCTCCAAGGACCGTAACAACCTCTGTGGAGTTGTAAAAATAATCGGAACACTTAGAGAACAGTTTAAAAGAACCAAAGAAGAGCAGAAGCTATGAAGAGTAGGTAGGACCACTCTTTTTAATTAACTGAATTCAAGCTATCATTGAAATAAAAAGATCTGTGAGGGTAGCTTACAAATATAAAGAGTAGATCTCATTATCTACATGTTTTGAATGTTCAGCAGACCAACAGTATAGTTAAGTGACTGAAGTTGTGCCTTATTAAGATTCATCTTTGTAAGAGTCTCTAGAACTGACTGGAAATGCAAGTGACAGCCGCTTTTCAGAGATGCATAAAAATAGAAAGAGAGAGATTACAAAACAGTATTAGAACCTGGTGTCTCAGTGGTTACGGAGAAGATGTACACTTCATGCTATCTCTCCCATTCTCTCTCCACCACTGGAATCTACAACAAACACTACTCCAGTGGACTTTGTATACAGCTGCAGGACCACAAACTACATGAGGCTTTTTAAATTTAAATCAATCAACATTAAATAAAATTAAAAAGTTAGTTCCTCGGCTGTATTAGCTACATTTCAAGTGTTCAGAAGCGGTAAGTGGCTAGTTACCCATCTTTCTGGACAGAGCCAATATAGAACGTCTCCATCATTGCAGAAAGCTCTAGTGGATAACACAGGTTTAGAGAGTCTTATCCCACACTCAACATGTGCTATTGCAAAGATAAATTTGAAAGGCTTTTGCTGCTAGGCTTAGGTGTTACTGAGAAATAGACTTGCAATGCACCATCCCTTTCACCAAGTATTGTAAGGCACTTCACACAGCTCCCTAGAAAGTTAACAGAGACATGACAAGTCACATTTTGTAAGACTTCCTTATCTAGAATGAGAAAAGGGCAAGTTTAGAAGCAATATAAGCAGCTGGATGTTCCAAAAACAGAATTACACTAGACCTTTCAAAATGTGAAATCTAGTCCAGGCAAGAACTGACTTTCACAGTTAAAATAGGCAGCTGTCTTGGAGTAGGATTTGAGAGATAGCCTCAGGACATTATCAGTGAAAATAAAGAATTATGCTGGAGTAGGGATAAGGGAACTAAAATGTACAGAACACCCACTCAGTACCAGGATTCTGTTAGGCATTCGGATGTACAGATACAATAGGGTTGCTGTCCTCAAGAATACAGTGCAGCCCTGGCCAGTTTAGTTCTGTGGTTAGAGCTTCAGCCCTCATACCAAAGAGTTACGGGTTCAATTCCAGTCAAGGGCAGGGCACATACCTTGGTTGCAGTTTGATCCCTGGCCTGGTTGGGGTAATGCAGGAGGCAACCAATTGATGTGTCTCTCTCACGCCGATGTTTCTCTCTTTCTCCCTCCCTCTCTCCCACTCTATCTGAAAATCAAAGGGAAAATATCCTCCGGTGAGGATTAAAAATAAATAAATAAATAATACAGTACAATACAGAGAGACAGAATATTAATGAGCGTAGTGTAAGAACCAGTATGTTCTGTGAAAAAGTCTAAAGAGGACAGTGTGAAGATGTTATGGGCAGCATGTCTGTGTCCCCACACAACTCTTATGCTCCAATGTGATAATATATGAAGGTGGGGCCTTTGGGAGGGGATCAGGTTTAGGTGAAGTTATGAGGATAATGCCTCCATGATGGGATTAGTGTCCTTCTAAGAAGAGACACAAGAGAGCTTGTTTCCCCTCTTTCCTCCACCTGAGGACACAGTGAGAAGATGGTGGTCAGCTTCCCAGGAAGAGGATCACCAAGAATCTGACCATGCTGGCACCGCGATTGCAGTCTTCCAGTGTCCAGAACTATAAGAAATCACTGTTCGCTGCTTAAGGCACCAGTCTATGGCATTCTGTTACAGCAGCCCAAAATAAAACAGAGGACATTCAAGAGAAGGGTAAAGAGAAGAGAGGGGTGGGCTATGGTCTAGAAAGGTGTCAGAGAGGAAATGAACAGGAGTGAAGTTTTAAAAACTACAAAATTATAACAAAGGGAGAAGAACATTTCTAGGCAGGAAAGCAATGTAAATACAGATAAAATGATGGCAATATTCCCAGGAAACCAATTCAGATTAAGTAATTTTTTCAAGGTTACATGGTAGGCAGAGCCAGAACTCGAGCCAGGTCTTCAGGACTTTCATAGACTGTTTCTTCTGATACATGGAACATCCTACGCCACTTCTCTATACTTTCCTCTGGTCCCCACTTGTGATTCTGTACTTCAAGACTCAAGACCAAATATTCAGGTTACAATCTTCTCCTAAATCCTTCTCTGATGATTCCTTCCTACTTCCGGTATCACTTACACCCTCTATCATAAATCCTGTCTTCTTTCTGGTCTTCACAATAGCCTATACATTCCCAGTAGCTGGGGCCTGTCTTTGTATCCTTAGCACTAAGCACAACACATCTAGTGGCTCACTTCTACACAACCAGACTGCAAGATAGCTGAAACTGCTGTCCTTACATCCATCCTCCCTTTTCTCCTTCTATATATATATCCATTCGTCCATGCTTGTAATCGTTTATTGAGGGCCTATTATATAAATAGATCAGGTACCATACAAGAACCAGGGGAACAAAGACATATGGTTCCCAACCCTAAGGATTTCAGTAAAGTATATGTGTTAAGACAGACTCTAGAAAGTCCAAGACAAAATGAAAATATATAATCAATAACTATTTACTGAACTTCTGTTATGTGCTAAGCACTGAGTAAAGTCCTAGATATACAAAGATTAATAAGATGTATCTTCTGATCTTAAAGAGCTATTATATAAGAAAAAAAGGAAAGAAACATATATAAACAAATTACAATTTAATGAAGATGTGTTGTTAATATCCAACAATCCTAGGGACCAATTTACACAAAGAATTTTCCCATCCAAAATACCAATAGTTCTTTAGGAACTTTTAGGAAACAACACTGAAAGGTCAGAGAATCCTGGATTGTTTTAGCTGAGCATGTGGCTGTTTAGAATAAAGACTACAGTGCCCTGCCCTAGCCAGTGTGGCTCGGTGGCTAGAGCATTGGCCCACGGACCAAAAGGTTGCAGGTTCAATTTCCAGTCAAGGGCACATACCTGGGTTGCAGCCTGGTCCCCAGCCTGGTCCAGGCATGTGCAGGAGGCAACCAATCGATGTTTCTCTTTCTCTTTCTCTCTCTCTCTCTCTCTCTCTCTCTGTTTCTCCCTCCCTCCCTCCCTCCCTCGCCCTCCCCAACCCCTTCCACTCTCTCTAAAAATCAATGGGGGCGTAGGACAACGAGACCGGGTGGGAGCCAGCATGGTGGCCAAGCACAAGACTAAGTTATCCAAGAATTTGCTGCACATGAAGTTTACGCAAAGGGGACTGGACTCAGAAACCAAGAAACAACTAGAAGAAGAAAAGAAAATCATCAGTGAAGAGCACTGGTACTTGAATTTGCCAGAGCTTAAAGAGAAAGAGAGTTTCATAATAGAAGAGCAGAGTTTCTTGTTATGTGAAGATCTTCTCTATGGAAGAATGTCATTCAGAGGATTTAATCCTGAGGTTGAAAAATTAATGCTTCAGATGAATGCTAAGAACAAAGCAGAAGTTGTTGAAGATGAAACGGTGGAGCTGGCTGTGTCAGATGAAGAAATAGCTAGAAGATACGAGACCTTGGTGGGGATAATTGGAAAAAAGTTTGCCAAAAAAAAGATATCATGCCAATTATGAAGAAGATGAAAATGGAGACACAAAACCAATTAAAGTAAAGAAGATGTTCCTGAAGCCCCAAGATTAAAAGGGATGCCTTAAGATACGGCTCAGGGACGCCTTGTGAGAGCTGACATATTTTGGGACTCATTCCAATAGTTATTAATAGTATAATGTTTATTTGTAAAGAAATGTATAATTTTGGAAACATGCTGTTTTCAAAACAGATGTATGATGGATGTTATACATCCTTTGCATAATGGTATTCATCAAAAGTGGATTTTTAGACCTTGATCTTCAAATGCACAAAGGTACATGGTTGTGCATTTGAAGGTATATATAAAGGTATATATTATATATATATAATTTTTTTTTTATCCTCACCGGAGGACATTTTTCCATTTTTTGTTCAGGTAGAGTGGGAGGGAGAGAGAGGAACAGAGAGAGAGAGAAAAACATCGATGTGAAAGGAACACATCGAGTGGCTGCCACCCGCACAACCGACCAGGGCCGGGGACTAACTGCAACCGAGGTATGTGCCCTTAGCAGGAACCGAACCCGGGTCTCTCAGGACCGCAGGCCGACGCTCTAACCGCTGAGCCAAACCGGCCAGGGCACTTCCTAAATATTTTTTAGCCCCAGATTTTATTTTAATGTATCACTCCTGTCACTGACCTTAAATTGACTCCTAAATTAATACCAGTGTTTAAATTGTCCTTATGTTTACATTTTACTTTAAGTTATTAATAATGTCAAGCCAATTTATACATTTTGGAATCAAATATCATAAGAATTTGTTATATGTAAATTAATCAAGAACAAACATACCTGCCTCTCTGGCTTAAAAGCATTTGCACGCTACCAAGTCAGTCAGTTTGTGGAATTACAGTTTTGAGTTTAACGCTTTTAATTAATTTTTTATTATTTATTTATTTATTTATTTATTTTATCCTCACCCGAGGACATTTTTTGATACTTTGTTCAGATAGAGGGAGAGGGAGAGAGAGAGAGAGAGAAACATCGACGAGAAAGTGACACATCGAGTGGCTGCCACCCACATGACCCAACCAGGGCCGGGGACAAACTGCAACCAAGGTACGTGCCCTTAGCGGGAACCGAACCCGGGTCTCTCCGGACCGCAGGCCGACGCTCTAACCGCTGAGCCAAAACGGCCAGGGCTTAATTAATTTTTTTAAATGTTCTGTAACAAACATCTGTTTTTATGGAAAAAAATAAAAAAATAAAAATCAATGGGAAAAATAACCTCGGGCGAGGATTAACAACAACAACACAAAAGACTACAGTCCCTAGTCTCTGTGGCAGTTAGATACGGCTGTGAGAGCAGGTTCATGTTTAATCAGGTCAGGAAACTCTGATAGGTGGTGTTTGCCAATTTCCATGGTATAAATACGTCCACTATGATCAATTTCAAACTACCAACATGAGGTACCTGAACACAGAGTTGGAAAAGAGATGTGCATATTTGGCTTTCACTAATAGGAGGCAATATGCACAAGCAGGAGCCAGATTCAAAACACCACGGATTCTAGTCAATGGAACTGAGCTGAATGGCAGGTAGTGGCCTCTAGTCACATGCTTAAAGAAAAGGAGAATGTCCTCCCCTTGCCCTTTACTCTTCCTTCCAGCTGAAATGCACTATCATCATGAGCTACCTTGGACAGGTGGGCAAGGGAAAACACTTGTAATAGCAAAGCAAATAGGAGAAAGAACACGAGTCCCTAACACCATGGCACTGCTATGCCAGCCCTAGACTACTTTTAATGCATTGTTATGAGAGAAATAAACTTCTATTTTGTAAAGCCACTATTATTTTGGGTCTCTGTTAAAACAACCAAAATCTATATCTAATTAACACAATCATGTTGACAGCTCTGAAGAAGAGAAGCTGATTGAAAGAAGTTAGGCTCAAGACAGAAAGTACTCTTAGATTGGGAAACTATAGTAATATTACAGATGAAAGACACTGTGGGTTTGGGTTTAGACAATGGCAATACAGTTAGAGAGGAAGGTGATACATCTCAAAAAAAACCCAGGAAAATATCAAAAACAAAGAAACAGAAGAACCAGAAATAAGCTGAAGAGAAGTCATGAGTAAAATGTTTTAAGAGTACTGCCTACTACACTTAAGGTGTGGCCTGAACTGGGACAGCAAAATATATAAAACTATCCTTTGGGAATTTACAGTTTGGAGAGGTGGACAGATACATAAACAGAAGGGCGATTAAGCATTGATACAAGCAGGTACAGTACAGGTAAGAGTAGGCCAAAACAGAGGAAGTAGTCAATTCCACTGATGGTAATGGGTGAGAACAGCAGAAGATCAGAGAGGATTTCATTAAGAGGGACACTATATTACAAAAATATGTCTTCAGAGATAAGTAGATATTCTACCTTTAAAGATAAGCAGATATTCTCTCTAGTAAGACAAATGGAAACAGCATAAACAAAAATACAAAGGAATGAAAAGGCTTAATTTGGAAAAGTTCCAGTGTTTCTGTATAATTGGAATCTTTAAAAAGATTTAAAAATCAGTCACTGGAATAGACCGAATAGTAAATATGAGACAAAGAACAAAATCAGAGCCAGAAAGGAGCTCAAAGTTGAAGATAGTTTTGACTATTTGTTTATTTCATACCTTGAACACTTTGTAAACTCATAAAGAAATTGATGGATATATGGAGGCTGAAATCAGAAGAGGAGAAGCCTGATGGAAAGAGGATATTCCGAGTACACATAACAAATCAGATAATTTGATTAGCAGATTCTTAGAGCCTGCTCCCTTCATTATAAGGCTTTGAAGGAATGGAAGAAGAGAAGATGTTCGGATAAAGAAGTCATGACCTGAAAGCTAAATCTGCCTCACCAATTTTTTTAATCCTCACCCAAGGATATGTTTTCACTAATTTCAGAGAAAGAAAAGGAGAGAGAGAGAAACACATCAATGTGAGAGAGAAACATTGATCGGTTGCCTCCTGTATGTTTTCCAACCTGGGATTAAACCCAACACCTTCTGGTGTACGGATGACGCTCCAACCAACTGACCCACCAGGCCAGGGCTCACCAACTGTTTTTATATGGACCGCAGGGTAAGAATGTGTTTTACATTTTAAAATAATTGCAAAAAAAAAAAAAAAAAAGTATTTCATAACACACCAAATAAAGTTTCACTGGAACATGACCATGCTCACTTGTTTGCATACTGTGTATGGCTGCTTTCATACTACTATGTCAGAGTTGCACAGCTGGGAAAGAGAGCATATGGTCCTCAAAGCCTAAAATACTCACTGTCTGGCTCTTTGTAGAAGTTTGCCAACCCTGGTTTAGGTGATGACAGTGAGTGCTCTGCAAGGATATAACCCAGGAGATAGCATGAAGGTACCAACAAGGGTTTGGGAAAATCCACAAGCAATAGTATGTAATTTACATCTAACGTTACATAATAAAATTGGGGGTGACAAAATGTTTTTCTCCAACATCAAGTTGTGCAAGGTGTTAGTTTTCTTTCATAAACTTCCATAAATAAAAGTCCTCCTGACTATCTGTATGCATGGTATCTTCTTGAACATCCACTTTCAGAAACAAATATATGTTAGGTTTTCTTCCAATTCATACGCTTAAGATGCCTGGCTGGTGCTACATCTCCTGGGTACAAAAAAACACACAAAACTCCCTTGCAGTTACTTCTATATTGTAGTACACAGAATGAAATTAAGGCTAAAGAAATACATCCAATGGGTTGTGATATAAATGACATAACACTGTTTAATGACACAGAGACCCTATCTTTAATATAACTCTAAAAGTTACACATCATATTGAAAAAAATCAGAAGATGCAGACAGAAGATGCAGACAGCTGGCTAACTATATTTCTACCACTCTTTCATTTAGTGAAGTTCTGTGACTAAATTCTGGCCAAGAAAATGTAAGTAGAAGATGGGTATCCTTAAAAGCAGCAGCATGTAGTTTTTTTACTTTTTCCTTCATATGGACTGAAAGACCGATGTGATCCCTATTAGCTGATAAAAGACCTAGAGGAGCCTCTGCATCTCTGCATTTATTCAAATTTGAAACATGGTAACAGGTCGGTATTATGACGCCAGTCTATTCACATTAGCCACAGCCTATATAAATATAAGAATATGAGAAAATAAAGTAATGGAGTGCACAGTAGCTGTACACAAGGAAGAGATAATAAAGCAATTTAAATAAATAAGTCAGAATAATTTAATAATAAATATTTTTAGCTTACCTCCTTGGATTCCCTTGGCCGTTGCCGTTTTGCCAGCATTATCAAGTCCCACCATCACAAGAGTCACCTTTCTTAAAATGAAAAAATTTAAAAATCACTTTCTGAGTTAATTCAATATTGGAAAAAATAAAAGCAAATGCATTCATTCAAGCAACATTTAGGAGCATCTACTGTACAAGACAAGCTGCTTCATACTAAGAGAAAATAATGAATAACTATAGATTTAAAAAGCAAAATTCATGAAAAATACCTTTCAAGCGTCATCTTTTTGTTCTCTAAGCAATAAAAGGGAAATTGTACAATAGAAACCCAAAACATATAGATGAAATAAGAGAAACAAAAAAGAAAAAGAAAAATGGAGGGAGATGGATTCTAACATTTGAGTTATGTATCATGACTAAAGACTAATTTTTTTCTAGTTAATTGAATTCTAAGGCTTATCACGAATCTGTTTTTTCTTGTGACATCACATAAAAAATAATTATTGTTATATTCTAGGCATTACTTGAATACTCAAATCTGTTTTAAGATATGTGTAGTACCTTACCAAGTATAAATCTTAAATACAGCATAGTAACATGATTATTAAGTGCTGACATATTTTGAAAGAGGACTATAATTATAAAGTTTAAAATGTTTCTAATGACATAGCTAAACTTCACAGAGTCCAAAAAATATATATATGTAGTCTAGTTTCAGTTTTACAACTGAAAAACATAAGCCCAGAGTCAGAAGACATAAGATAATTAATAGGTTACAAAGAACCAGAACCGAATTCACCCACATCCTAGGGAATTCTTTAACCTGGGACAGATATATAGGAACAAACCTATATACGTCCTATTAACATGACAATTCAGTCCACTACTAAAGTTCATTTCTGATCTAGGCTACACTACTGCACAATATGAGATGAGACTGTCTATTAACACCATGGATTTGGGAATATAGAGAGAAAGCCACAGCATAACACAGCAGCTGGGTTAAAACCACAGGGCCACACTCCTATGGGGTAGAGTCAGGGTTTCTGCTAAAAACAGTCGTTCTTCACTGGCAATCATCCGAAGACAGGTTAAAAACAGAACTTATATTGCAAGGAAGGGTGTTCTTTTATCTCTCTAGGCCTGACTGTTGGATCTGGACTTTTTTTTAAATTCCAGTTATATTCAACAAGGCCATGTAACAAAGAGAAAAGACAGAGGTGAGGGTGTGAGGCAGTCCAGTAATGGGTCGTAAGAGGAGGAAGAACAAACTCAGTCTTGCAAAAACCAAACTGGTCATTTATTAAATAAATAGTTACTATCTTCTGTGCACTGGACACCAGTGTTTTCCAGTGTTTTCGGGATTTGAGATACACTTGTTTATTAAAATAATCACAACAATGAAAAACAAACAAACTCTTTCCTATTAAACTTACATTTTAGTGGCAGAAGACAAGCAATAGTAATAAATATAAGAAATAAGTAAATTATAAATTATATAGTATGTTGAAAGGTGGTTACGTACTGTAGAAAAAAGAATAGAGCAGGGTAAAGGGGAACAGTGGTGGTGATAGGATGTGGGTTGCAGTTTTATGTAGGGTGGTCGGGGTAGGCCTGACTGAGAAGGCCAAGTCTAAGCAAGGCCTTGAAGGAGGTAGTTATGTGAATATCTGGGGCAACAGAAAAGAGCTGGGGCAAAGGAACTAAGGTGGGGGCATGCTGGAATGTTCCAGTATCAGCAAGGAAGCCAGGATGGTAAAAACCCAGTGAGAAAGGGGCGGGGAAGGGAAAGAGATCAGAAACATATCAAAGGCAAGATCTTATAGGTTTGTGGGCCATGGTGAAGACTGGCTTTTGTGAGTGAAATTAATTTACTCTCCATGTTAATTTCCTTTGTTATCCAGAAGCTTCAGTCTATTCTAAATGTTTCAACCATCCCTACACACAATGGGGAATAAATGGAAGGATGTCTACACCTGAGTCACTGAAAGAATCACGTAGGTCAAATAGGTCATAATTAGCAGCATCCCCATACCCTGTCCCTGTAAGCCAGTGGTGGGGTCAGTGACAATGCCAGAGATCAACAGCAGATTATGAATTTAAGGAGCTGAGGTTGTATGTACGTACTGTTATCCATGTGGAAATTTTACCTGCATTATCAACTTTGAAAAGTATCAGTTTACTTAAGGAAGCTGTGAGATATTTAGAGTATAATTTATTATTTTGTTTGACAAATTCATAACTATAAAATATCAAGGAACGAGACTTAAGTGTAAAATAATGCCCTAAACACAATATAGTAAGTAACTATAATGTAATATTTTAAACAATATTTTAGAAATTCAACATACTAGATATACAACAAATAGACTAAAATTATATTAAAGCTAATCCAATTGCTCTTTAATAATTTATAATTCAGTTCAAGATCTATAGTGCCACTAACATCATCGTGAGCCCAAACAATTACTTTTGGGAACAAATCACCATTTTCTGCTTGTCTGCACAATTTATTCTATAAATATTGATTAAGCACCTATTACACAGTAGCATACAAACATTCATAATCCCTAGCCCTCATAAACCTTAGAGCCTAGCAAGAAAATAGGCATTGGAGAGGTAATTCTGTGTGATGACTGTTGAAAGGGAAAGAGCAGGCAGCCACAGGAAGAGATAACAAGACAACTGTGCCTATTCTAGAAGTCAAGGAAGACCACATTACAAATATGCAGCAACTGGGTCAGCAGTTCTAGAAACATCATAAAACCTTTCCCATCTCTTATGAGACAAGTAAAAAATCTTAAATATACCTTTTCAAGGAAAATGGCCCCTCATTCTCTTATATGGATAGCACCGTAAGTCCCCTCAACCCCCATTCTTATTAATATATCAGTTTAAAAAAACACTTCCAATCCTGGCCAGTGTGGCTCAGTTGGTTGAGCATTGTCCCATGTACCAAAAAGGTCGCAGCCCAATTCCCAGCTAGGGCACATGCCCCAGTTGTGGGTTTAACCTCCAGTAAGGGGTGTACAGGAGGAAACTGATCAATGTCTCTCTCTCTCTCTCTCTTTTCCCTCTCCCTTCCTCTCTCTCTAAAACATCAATAAAACATATTTTAAAATTTCCAAATTATTACTATTACATATTGCTCTTAAAGCTAGCTGCCAAGAATGTTAGCTTTTATCTTTAAAGTATTCCATTTTTCAATAGGATACTAGGTTCAAATTTTTTTTTTTTAATTATTCAAACATGAAAATCACTTGGGAAAATGGTAATCATGCTGAGACTAGCACTAAATAAGCCTCTCTGGATTTCTATTTTTACTTTGACTAACATTGCAAGTTGTTAATTTTTAAGATTAAGCCATATACTTGAAAACATGGATTTAATTAGTATTTGAGGTAATTAAAGCCTTAATAAATAAATATAACATTAGCAGTACAAATAAAAATCACAACATGAATTCCTACAATGCTTAATAAAATATTGAATTTATATGTTAATTATAGAATGAGTTTAAAAGGTTAACATTTACCTAACACTCAAAATTCTATGCAACTCTTTAAATAATGAAGATGTAGAATCTAACACATGTTAAAATGTACACGTCATTATAGCTTTTTAAAACATAGCAAATTATCACTGACTGTGGTGCACTATGACCAACACCAACAAGAAAGATTGTCTACGTCTTTTAATCTTATTCTTACTAATCAATTACATTAGCCCTTCAATTGAAAAAAAATACACACACACACACACAGTGTTCTTAAATTTACAGTCTCTAAAAATGTTGCACAGTAATAAATCAATAATTTAGTCATTTGGTCAGACAGAAATTCAAGAAAAAGTACATTAGGCATTATGGACACAAAAATGCCTGACACATATTTTCTATGCCAGAATGCTCATCCTCTAATGAGAGTAAAAGGTAAACAAATATTGGTAGACCGTGACACAATAACAGTTTAAAATGCTCATCTACATACACAAGATGCTAACAGAAAACAGAGCAAGGGGACATTATCCAGCCCAGAGATACAAGAGAAGACCAGGGAAATTTCTTTCACAAGGTGATGCCTCGGCTAAGTTCTTAAAGTAGAAAAGTTTGCCAAGCAAGGGGAAAGTGAAAACAGAAAAAGAAGGGAGAGATTCCAGACTGAGAACACTGCCTAGAAAGACACCATACCAAGGCAGTGAGAACTGGCAGGGTGCTAAGTTGCTGAACCCAGGGGTTAAGATCACACTTCAGCACAGAAGCCTTAAACAAAAGAACACACACACACACACACACACACACACACACAGATATACACCAGGTATCCAGGTAGTCTGGCTCATTTTCATCAAGGTATCTTGTAATTTTTTTCCCCAGATTTAGGCCTATCACAATTATAACCTAGTTCCTGGACCTAGAAGAAGTTATATTACCTAGTAATAGGTAAATTAACTAAAGTAATGAATTGCATGCTGTTAATAAAAGCTACCCATGATGTTGATAAAACTCAAACCATGCTATTTTTCTGCTTAAAATCCTTAAAGAGAATCAAGTCCGAACACTACAGCCTCCTCTTCTGCCACTCCCCACAGAGCCTACAAGGCCAGGGATACCCCCAGTCCTTCCCGACCATCTATGCAACCACAGTAAATAGACTCTAACTTTGCCATGCAACTTATCATACAGTCTCCTCTACTACCAGCTCTCTTCATCAACTCTGTAGCCCCTAAGTCAAATGTGCTGGGCACACATTAGGCACCTTTACTGAATGAAACAACATAAGTATAATTTCTGATGCTCCATTTGCTGAGTAAATACTAAGTAAAATTATAATACATAACTTTACATTGAGGAAGTACTGTACAGAATTTATAAAAGTCTTTACACCAAGGTAACAAACAGTTCAACATTAGAGAATGTAATTAAAATCACCTATCTTCTAACATCAAACTGGCTAAAGTTTTCTGAAAAAGTTTACATGTCATAGTTTCAGGGTAACGATTAATAGTGTTAATTTCTTTTAAAAATTTTTTAAAATGTTTTCATTGATTTTTAGAAAGAGAGGACAAGAGAAAGAGAGAGAGAGAGAGAG